GGTAAATCCTTCATACTGTTTTATGTATACTTCTTCAATATCCCTATTCAAGAATGTTGTTTTCACATTCATCTGATATAGCTCCAAATCAAAATGAGCTACTAAAGCCATTATAATTCTAAACGAATCTTATGAAATCGGAGAAAATATTTCATGGTAATCGGTACCTTCCTTTTAAGTGAAATCCTTAACTACAAGTCTGGCCATATATCATTCTATAGTACCAGATGCATCTCTTTTGATCTTATAGACCCATTTACAACCAACGGTTGTATGTCTACCTGGCAATTTAATGAGATCCTAAACTTGATTTTTAGCCATAGATTTAATCTCTTCCTTTATGACATCATACCAAAAACTTGAGTTTTCCCCTTCAACAGCTTGTGAAAACGAGTTAGGATCATTCTCAAGTCCAACATGTGTATCGGACTCTTGAATATATACAATATAATCGTTAAAATTGCTAGTTTCCTTATTTTTGAGGATCCTCTGATACCGACTATGTCATTTTGATTTTGTATATTTTTATTAATAGGTTTAGCATTGTGTGGGGATTCTCATTATGCGTTTTCCTCATGTAGTAACAGTTGTTCTTGGGTTTGTTCATTTCTAGTTGTAATTGAATCCTTTCTTTTGAAAGAAATTTATATGCCTAGATTAGAAGATGATCCAATATATTCACTTATTTCCTAAAATCAATATTTCGAGGAAACTCACTCCCACTCACTTCATGATCCTTTTGAAATTTTACATTTCTGGCTTCGACAATTCTTGGAGTGTACGAATGACAATAGAATTTATAGACCTTGTAGTTCGCTGGATAGCATATGAAAAATCTAACTTACTATCCTAGGGTCCAATTTCTTTATGTGAGGATTGCAAACCTTCACTTCAGTTGGACAACTCTATATGCGTATATGTTTCAAACTAAGTTTCTATCTGTTCTAAATTTCAAATGGTGTGTTAAGAACTACTTTAGATGGAACTTTGTTTAGGATATACACTGCAGTTTTTAAAGCTTCGCTCTATAAATGCAAAGAAATATTGCTTATCATACTCAACCATATGCATTAAGGTCCCACTTCTTCTTTCAACTTCAACATTTGTTGCAGTATGTCTGACATTGTATATTGTGCTATGATATCTTGTTCTGCTAAAAACTTAGCAAACGGACTCAGTATTTGTCCCCTTTCTGTGCACCGTTCATAATATTCTCCATCCCTATTTGATTGAAAAATTTGTAGTAGAAATGTGCCCTCAAAGCGCGACGCTTTCTAGCCAACATTTACTTGATAACCTCTTTCACTTGATGGAAATATATATATAGGACTTTCACTTCTTAAAGAGAAATTCTACAGGGATATTTTATTTTTATTATTAATTTTTTTGTACGAGTTTGGCTAGTGACTCTTTGGCATATATGTAAAGAAAATAACCATAACTTCCATCCATCATGGAAGGGACTGTTCTTGTGTGACAACCACCTGGTTGTCCAAGGGGCTTAAACCTCATAGAAGTAAGTGGTTTTTTCCCGCAATAACTTCCCTTCAATAATCAAATAGGAAGTTATCTAGACAATTAATTAATCCACTATTTAAACTTTAAATTTATTTAACATTATATTGACCATGTGGACCACAAATGGCTTACACGTCTTCCACCTATTTTATAAAAAAATGTGCAACTTTCAAACCAAAAATGATGTAAATTTCACATCTTATTTTAGTAATTTTCACTCCATTACACCAGATTTTAGACTTACCTTATTTTTAATTCTAAACGTTAAATTTATTTCAAAAATTATTTAATTATGTAATTTGTTAATACTAAAATTACAAAATTAAAAATTACATTTATTTAACTAAATAAAGGATTTATAATAAATTAAAAAAGCGTTACACTCAATATCACAATTTAAAAAAGTATAACATTTCACATCACTAATATTTATGTTGTAGTATTGATAATTTCTTTTTTATTTGTAATTATCTAATCTGTAATTTGTAATTTTAGTGAGTAATTTTATTTTAATATACTCAATAATTATCATATACTACTCGAATACAATGCATTGTTAATAAAGAAATTTTAATTAAATTAAACCATTAAGTAATAAAAAAAATATAATAAGAATTAAATTTTGTTGTATTATAAAATGAAGGACAAAATGAAAAATAATTAAAATTGTATATATGTTGACCTAATGGTTGACTTCTTATTTTGATTATTACAAGCAAATTGCGTTTGATTCTAACAAATTGAATTTAAGTGATTGACAGTGATTATTGCAAATTTATGACACGAAAAGATTTAGTTCGAGAATCATGCAACCTTGGTGGAAAACGATATACACACAAGATTTATGAACAAGGAAATGAAAATCGAGCTCTCACACACCAAATTGCATTGGATGAAGAATTTGAAGGCATTAGCTATAGATGCATTTGTATATTCAAGTGTAAAGGTAAAACACTTTAATATTTCGCATCGATCATAGCTCAAACAACCTTCATGCACGGAAATTATCATAACAAACCTTACTTACATAAAAATTATTTTTCAAAAAGATAAGTAATTTAATTTTCACAATCAAACCTTTATGAAATTACTTATTTATAAAAAGTATATAACAAAACCGTTAAAAATATTTTAAAGAAACTTTTTTCAAGAAATGAAAAAATTAAAAAAGGCCATACGAACGTCCGGGTGGTGTCTTCCGAACGTCCGGATGAAATGTCCAACGGTTAAATTTTTTAACCGTTTGACAAACGGCTAGTTACACGTTCGGATACCGAGAGGACGTTCGAATCACGTGTCCGGATCTCCCGATTGATGGTTATAAATGCCTTTCTTTTTACCTTCTTAATGTTAGAATTTTGGAGCATTAAAGAAAGTTACTTATTAATCTCATCTACTTTATTTCTCAATCTTTAAGAGGTCAAAATATTTTTGTTGAAAAAGGTTTTGAGTAAGTAACTTTGTAAAAAATCATATATCTTGATAAAAGTCTTTCCCACAATACTTGAGCTATATTCTTTGTGATTTATTGAGGTGTTGTGCCTACTTCTCTCTTAATACTTTGTTGTATTCATATCATTTGTTAAGAGAGAAGTTTTTTAAGTGTAACATTGATTCTCTTGTTCATTGAATTGTGGGTTGTGTTGAAGTCCCGGAAAGCTCAACGTGTAAAAGGATCGGTGCTCCTTAATTGTAAGTCACCGGAAACATTGTAAGGGTTGGATTGCACCACAAATCAATTAAAGATAGTGAAAAGGGCCTTGCTCGTGACGGAGAGTTTGGTAACGGGGGATGTAGAACGTGATTGGATCGAATCTCCTTATTACATCGTTTGCACTCTCTTTTCCCTTCCTTTTATTGTTTTTGTGTTATCTTATTTATTCATTATTATTTGTCTATATTTGAATGTATTTTCGAAAAAGTATCAAATAACCAATTCACCCCCCTCTTGATTAATTGTTCTTGGGCTGTCAATATATACCGTTAATTACTCTATATTGGTGTGAAAATTTGAAAGACGGTTGGAAAATCATTTCATATCAAATTGGAACTTTAGGTTATTTTGAAGTTGAGTTGGAGATGCAATTAAAATTTTCTTATTTTAATATGTATCAATAATTTTGTTTTTTTCTCCAAATATTTTCTTTCATAAATTTATAAATTCATTAATTTGAAATTCAGAATAATTATTTAACAACAACAATAATCTTAATGAAAAATTTAGCCCCTTTTGTGATTATAAGGTAAAAATAAAATAATTAATTTTTCATATAAAATTATTTTATTAAAAGAATATATATAGTTACGAATTAAAAAAGAAAAAATGAAAAAAAAGCATGAACTTACGATTCTAACCGGACATCAGTATATGCCTCAAGTGCAGTTTCGGTCGGGTCTCCTGCAGGAATATACAAACGACGACGTTTTCTTAACGAAGAAAAAGCCCGGGCCACTTGAAAACGAAGCAACGGTAATGGCCCCACAAATCTCAGCCGAAATAGGTTTGGAGAATCCGAGAATTCTCCTCTACAAATACGAGAGTAAGACAGCCTATTCTAACACATTATACTTTCCTTATGTTTTCTATTCTTCAATATTTTTGGGTTTGACTCCAGAATTTTTACGGCTCTGCTCCATAACCCAACAATTTTTATTTTTATTGTTTTAAACCCTTATTTTGGTACGTTTTCTTGCCCCTGTATAACAGCCAGATTTATTCAATTATCTATTGGACACTCATTGAGGATGTTTAGGCTGTAAACTTCATGTTAAGCGATCTAAACATGCTTTAATCAACATAACAGCATTTAGATCAATGCGGAATAATATTGGATCGAAAACATACCTCCCGCCATTGCCGTTCTTCACACACTTTCTCTGTCTGTAGATGGTGTTTATCTTCGGGTTAAGGCTCTTCTAAGCCCTCTTCCTCACTGCTTAGATGGTGTATGCAAAACTGAACGTGAAAAATAGGCTTAGGGACCTTCCGAATGAATCTTAACGTCTTTATAATTGCTCCCTCCATCAAAGAGCGGTTATGCACTTCTTCAGATCATGGGCGGTTACTGAACGTGTGGGATATGAGATATATATGGACCACTTTTTAGTTGGTTATAATTCAACATCAATGAATTACATGATTGGGATTATTCAATTAAAACGTTAAAAAATATAAACGTTCTTGATTTGTATTACAACTCACAAGAATTGGAAAAATGTGAATTGTGTTTGATTTCAGAGGATTGATGACGTGGTTATTGGTTGTAGCCAAGTAGATTAATTCGGGGACTTTTTAACCATTAAATTTATTCGGGTGAATTGACTCAAGTCTGACAGATTGCCATTGGAATTGATGAATTCGTTATGTTGAAAAAATTCTAATCGCATTTTGCTTTGGTGAAAACCATGTAAGGAACAGTTTCATCCTATTCCTTGAAAGAAGAAATAATTTATGGAGATCAATTTATTGTCCAAGAAACCTGGAAATCAACATTTCAATTACAGTTATATGCGAATTTAATAGCTTGTGTTTCTGGAGGAGAGTGTTCTGTTTAATCAATTGCCAAGCATAGAAATCTCTTCAAATTGTGAATTGAACATATGCACAAGTTACTGCATCCTAACTGCAGCTTTATTTTCCCCATCTTTTGCAGAATGAATTTGTAACATCAAGATGAATACAAATGTATGCATCTTGGATCTGGTGAATAATCGTAGAATGAAGAGGTCTGTCCAATCGTTTGCAACTCTGCAACAGCGGTTCAGTGATGGTTCCAACCATCAATTTTCTGAAGAACAACTGCAAATTCTTGGATATCCAGTCCCTATCCTGATCGTAGAAATGAGTTGAGAAGAAACGAGATGTGAGTTTTGAATTTGTGGGATTAGTAATTCCTTAGGTTCCACCAAGTGTGATAAATGAGGCTATGGCCATGCGTTGTAGTTTGAAATTTTCATTAACCTTCTTAAGTGTAACTCTTTTGCAGTGAGAAAAACTTCCAGCAGAAAACAAATCTGGAGTGGCAAAAACAGCTATATGACTTCGGCTCTGACATGGGAGGCAGCCTATTAGGTGGTTCTGCTTTCAAGGTATTTGATAAAAAATCAGTCAGGATTTTTCCTTCTCTCATTTTGATGATTCGAAACTGTATTTTTTTTCCTTTATGGTTGTCATTTAAAGTATTTCTACGTCATGTTTTCTTGAAATATCGAACGTGTTATCATCATTATGTCTCACTGCGTCCTCTTTAATGAAGATGGATGATATGTTTCTTCCATTAATGATATAATGAATGAGTAGATTGAGGATAATTAGCTAACTGATTTATCAGTACTGTGACAGGTATAATGAACTAACTTTTTATTGGTACTGTGACGTACCTCTCATATACTTGAGCTCATACATTCTTTAATTGCTTTAGGAGCGTGTGAATCGGAAGATGCTATCAAATCAATTGCAAAACCTAAACCAGCATGAAATAATTGATGCTCGTGCTCTTTATGAAGCATCTTCCTGTCAACCCATTCCTAGGACGACGGCAGCTTTTGGGGGATCTGGATTTTACAACTTAAATTCATCTTACCCTGTGTTTGACTACTCAATGGCATCCACTGCTGCCAGTAGCAAAGTCAGAGTCAGTAACATCGAAAGTTCTCTCCACTTTCAGGGTAGGTTCAAGTATAAGTTGTCTTGAACATGTTGGTATAGTTTTCAGGCTTCAAAGATTAATAATCTTATTCAACGGTTGTTTCAAATGCAGAACCTCAAAATGACACCCATGCGGCCGTCTCTACATTAGTTGCTTGTGATGGCAAGAACATGTTTTCCTCAGTGGACCTAAATAATTTTCCTGACGAGGTTTCTCCTTCTCCCGAGAAGATCTCATCTATCACGGCTTGTTCTGATGGGGACTTGCATTCTTATAAGGATCATTTGGAGGGCGGACAAGCTTTTTCTCTCAGTAGTTTGCAGGGATTCAAGTCAACATCAGGAAACAATATTTTGCAGCACCATATTAGTCTGGGTTTAACTCCTAAAACTAACGCTGAATTTTCTAAATTTGAAGTGTTTCTATGCCCAATTATCCAATTCAACTTATTTTGTCATGTCATTGTATATAGTAGTAGGATAAGTCAGGAAACAGTTATAATTTCTGATACGACTAAATTTCTTCCACATCTGCCAATTTCCTGTCACTCTTAGTTTTCCTGAACCTGGTCTGCTCTCTGAATGACTCCTGATTAACTGTCTTGGAAAATCATTTTGTTCTCTTGGTTGTGTCAGATATTTCTTTATTTCTATTGCATCATTAAACTAATGGAATATTGTGCAGTCAACTTTACCATCATACCATGCAAAAAGTTGACAGTAAACCCTTTGTCTGGTTCCGCTTAATGAACTGATTATGATTATGTCAGTGTCGATTATGAAAGAATTAGAATATAATTTCTTTCTGACAGATCAATTTATTTTTTTCCTTTTATTTTTAGTAAACAGTTAAAATAATCTAAACCAAATGGAATATTAGCCCCTGTTTGAGCTCCATTATAGTTAGATTTTTGACAAAAAAAAATGTATTTTGTAATAGTGATCTTTTTGAAGAATCTGTGATTTAAAAAGAAAGAAAAGTTTTGAATTTACACGAAATATTATTTTATTTGAGAATGTGTGTTTAAAAAGAAGAAAGAAAAATGTATTATCAAATTAATGGAGCCCAAACAAGGGCTTGGTGTAGTTGAAGCTCAGATGCTGGAACCAAAGCGGAGTCATCAGCTACCTTATCCTTATTTTCAACATTTTGATGAGTCGTCTGAGGACCAGACAAATGAATGCACTGTGGAAATTAAAGAGTGTTATAATCAAACAGCAGGAAAAACGTCACTGAAATTACCCCAGCTGCTTGTAGATCAATCACGTGCATTTCAAAGAGAATTTTGGGATGTTCAACCTGCCAAACCTACTGATTCAACACTGTCTTTGCACAATATTCTTTTCTCATATTTTATGTACAAAAGTATGCCAGTGAATGCTGAGAGCAGGCAGGACTTTGTGGATTATATGCATTTGACAGTGTGCAATGACCAAAGATGTGTATGTGACTATTGAATTTTGATATCCCATTTTGATACCTGTCTTTATACTGGTTGTAGCATATGCAAGCCTGTTCGTGATTTAGTACCTGTTGACAAAATTTACTCAGGATCTGGAAAGTTGAAAAGAGATCTCCGATCTATAGATTCTGATAGAATAGGTTCCTACATTATCGAAGATCCTCAACCCTCTCCTAAACGTTTGAGGATAGAGAATGTTGTTGCACCTGATGTTTGGCCTATGGGTGCAGTTGCTTTTCCAGTGAAACAGCCCTTTCATACTAAAAAATATCCACAGCGGTTTGGAATTCCTGTACATAACAGGGAAGATGCAATGGAGGTAAACAAGGAATTGTTAAGTTTCATGGAGGAAGAAACCATACAAACTGCTGTGATTAGGACCTATATTTCAGATAGCAATGGGGAATGTGCAAATGGTTCCTTCAGAAGAACTGAAGGACATTTGAAGTTGGGACAGCCATCTGAAGTTCCTATATATAATAATGACTCAGATGAGATGAGCAAGGAAGTGTTTAGGTTCACAGGAAATTCCAGGATGAGGGGAAATGATGCTGCAGACAACAATTTTCAGGGTAATGGCTATGCTTGCAGTCTACCTGTAGAGCTCACTGTGGCTTGTAAACAAGAGGAGATGTACTTTGAATGCACTGGCAATGTCAACTCCTTTGTAACCTTTAATGCTCAAATTTTGAATTCTGAAAGCATGCCTTCTCTTTCTGAAGAGCAGATTGTTGGTCGACAAGGAGAGGAGATTAAACCCATGTCTACGGCTGAGCATGTTGGACTAGTTGCAAACTGTGTATCAGATGAAACTGCAGTTCATAATCAACTGGGAATAGAATCGAAGGATTTAAAAAGATTAGGCATTTCTTTAACTGATTTTTTCACAGAAGAGCAAATAAAAGTACACTTGCATAGTTTCAATCAGTGCAGAAGCCAGGTTTGTAAAGTAATCATTTTAAATTGGATAAATTTTGTATCCTTTGTAATTTATGGATTACTTGAATGGTAATAATCAACTTTAAACTATTCAAGAATTCACGTATACACGTATATAACTTCCTCTCTTTGGATAAATGACAACTAGATTCCATCTTTGATCGATAGATATTTTCTTCGTTTGTCCAATGTACTCATTTTAGGGAATCGTATCTGTTTTATTTTATTTTTTTTAAAACTACAATCATATAATTTGATGACATCTCTCTCTCTCTCTCTCTCTCTCTCTCTCTCTCTCTCTCTCTCTCTCGCTCTGTGTGTGTGTGTATAGAATGCTATGAAGGGATCAATGGAAAACACAGATGGGCATTCTGATGCAGGATGAAAATGAATTCCTGCAAAGTAGTTAGAATAGGCAGAATATAGCATAACTAGAAGAAGAAGAAGGTGGAAGCAGTAAGAAAGGGAGAGGAACCGGAGAGAAACAAGGGGGAACGAGAAGAGACCAGGGGACAGAAAGGGAGAAGCAAGGGGGGGAAACGACCGGCTGCAAGCCAAAATCAACTTTCAATTCTAATTCATCATCAACTGTCTCAAATGAGAAACAAAACAGAAATAAATAGCAGAACACAAACCCTAAAGAGAAGGGATTGGGCCAAACCCACTAAACAAGCCCAATAACGAAAACATAAACAATAGTCCAAATAAAATATAACTAATAATCCAAATAGAAAATAAATAATAAATGGATATCCGCATCAACTCTCTCGGGGTGGGAGAAAAACTCGACCCCGTCGAGTAGATAAAGCAGAATGTTGCACTGAATCTAATGCGAAAGGCTCCAAGTCATGCCACGGGGGACGATCTTTCTCGATGACCAAATACCGAAACTCCACAAATAATAACAAGGACAGTTGTAGCTTATCCTCAAGTATATGATCCAACCAAGGAGGACGATCTTTCTTTGTAATTACATACCGATACTGAACTCCCAATAGTAAAAATTCATGCCACTCATCTCCAAAATCTTCCTCATTGGTCAACACAACCTGTTTATCTAAAATAGCATCGATTACATTTTTATGTGCTGTGATATGTGTTATTGGAGTGAAAATGGTAATATATTTAGGTTGGGGATCCACACAAGGAAGTAGAAAAGGATTATCAAGGAAATTAAAAAGGCTTTTGTAAGTAATAAGTCTTCAATATGTAAAGTAGAGTGGTGGCCAAAATGTGATTAAAAATTAATGACATGTGCTTATGGACCAACATGCTTTAAAACTTTAAAAGGACCAGCACTACCGTCTTGCAATATAACATAATCCCCAATATGAAATTGAAACTATTGTTTATGCAAATCAGTTTGAAGTTTATATAATGCATTACTTGCGTGAAATTGTTTATTGATCTTAATATGCAAGTCATGAAGATGATGCACAAATGCTTCAACTGATATCGACACACTAGCATGTGGGGATATGAAAATAAGGTCTAACGGCCGCCTAGACTTATAACTATGAACAACTTCAAATGAATTCAAACCTAGAGACCAATTTATAGAATTGTTATACGCAATTTGAACAGTTGGGGAAATCAAGTCTCAATTTCTAAGATTTTTCCGGACTAGAGATTTGAATAAATTGCCAGGACTTTGGTTAACGACTTCATTTTGACCATCAGTTTGAAGTTGGTCAATAGTGGGGAATGTTGATTTAATGCTAACCACAGGCGACTGGATTCTCCAAGGGTGGCCAGTGAAATCATCAAGCTCTTTGAGTTGTGCAAGGGTATGACATATAACATGTGATCGAGAGTTGTCAGAAACAAGAGGTATAATATCTAAAGTCTCTGGAAGAGTCTGGAGTCCACCTAAAGAAGTGTCCTCACTATCATCCAAGTCATCAAAATCTTCGAGTTTAGGTTCATAGACTAGATCTTCTAATGGCATATCTATTACATTCTTTCGTTCTTCCATGACTAAGGTTCGATTAGTACATTTGGAAGAAATGTGGCCAAAGTCCTTACAGCTGACGCACAACAAGTGAGAAGAAGTCCTTGAAGTTTCAAAAATTGTACCCTTATTTTCCAAGATTGTATGAAGATTAGACGGGGAAGGTCTTAGAAGGGACTTAACGGGAGGAGGTGGAGCTAATGAAATCGAAGGATGTTTGTCAATGTGCTTTCTACATGGAGAAGAAGATCTTGGACTATCACGACCTTTACAATTATTTTTTCAAATAGGAGGAACATTAGACGGAGAAGGCTTTATGATAGACTTATGACGAGGTGACACTAATGGGATGAGTGAACGACGATGACCACGCCTTTCATATGGAGTACTAATAATCAACTCATAATCTCGAGTTAACGAGTAAGCGTGATCAAGAGTAGTGACACCTCGAAGGAGAAGCTCACGCCTAAGATCATCTCTCAGACCTTGGCTAAACCTACTCAAAGTCGTAGTCTCGTCCTCAATTAAATGACATTTGATTCGAAATTCCTCAAATTATGCGATATACTCAGTCACTAGTTGATTTCCTTGTTTAAGGGCATTCCATTGAGTAAGAATTTGAAAATTATCTCGTTCTCGCTCACGAATCTGATCCATATACCTACAATCGTGTCTAAAGCATTTTTGATCACCATGATGATGATGATAATGTCTATTATGGGACACTTTGGATTTATGAACGTCGGTTGAACGAGGGATTTTCTTAAAGTTGTTCAAATTAGCAGATAAAGCCTTACTTTCTTCAAGAATAGTAATCACCTGAGTTTGGATAGCCGCTATTTGTCGGGTGAGTGCATCAAATTGTGAGGGGTTCATATTTAAAGTAGTAAAGTGATAGGACGACCACTATGCAATTGTACACAAAGCAATACTACCTAAATGAAATGCAATAGAGAGACCAATATGCATCAAGCACCAACGATTAAAACATCAATTTGAAATTCTCTCTCTCTCTTTTCTTCCCTTCCAAAAATGCAAGTTAATAGTGCTGATGCTTGTAAATAATAAAGCAAGGGTCCAATACTTGTCAAGATCAAATGGTATTGTCAAGATTTTCAATCAGGTAGATACAAGAGGTAACAATGGCACATCAATTCAGTGAGATAAATGGGGCAACAATGGCAAGTCAATTCAATGAGTGATTCCAGTCAAGTGAAGTTTGAGGCCAAAGTTGTGATAGTAACAGCAACACAAAGAATCTAAGTGATGCACTTTTAAAATAGAACAACAGTATAAACCAATGAGAATTAGGAGATAGCAACTCCCTGTAGTCTAGTTGCCTAAATTGCTAACGATTGGGCCTCTGATCGGCCTGTGTCAAGTGTCTCCAGCTCCTGAACTCACGGTCATTGCATATTCTAAATTGTTGGCTTCACTGAAATTGGACAAATGCTGAAATAGAAACCTCTGTGTAACTGAATGGGTTGCTTGGTAGTAGAGACAGTAAACTGCTTGATCAATGACCCACAAAATAAGCCCAATAACGAAAATATAAACAATAGTCCAAATAAAATATAACTAATAGTCCAAATAGAAAATAAATAATAAATGGATGTCCGCATCACATTCTCTTGGTGAAAATACGTGCCAGTTATGTGCCGTAGATAGGCTCTTGTTCACCCCATCACCTGTCTATTGTTCATCTTGCGGGGATCGTATTAAACATAAGTTGACTTATTATTGGACAGAGGATGAAAGGGGTGCAAGGTACTGCTTTTGTCTATTGTGTTTCAGGGGGTCTCGTGGTGGTAGTATCTCATTTAGGGGGATGATTTTTTCCAAAACAAAGCTGCACAAGGACAAAAATGATGAAGAAGTTGAAGAATCAGTATGCTTAGTTTTCTTTGTGCCTTTTGCAGTTAATTCCATTGTATAAATTTGATATTGAATTCTGTTTACTGTTGTATGCTTGTAGTGGGTACAATGCGATGAGTGCCAACGTTGGCAGCATGAGATATGTGCTCTCTTTAATCCAAAACAGGATTTGGAAGGGAAAGGAAAGTACATTTGTCCATTTCGCCACTTAGCTGAGATAGCAGCTAAAGAACATGTGTCCACACCTGCTGCATTCGGGGCAAAAGATCTTCCAAGATCCATGCTTAGTGATTATATAGAAGAGAGACTCTTCAGAAGTCTTAAGAGAGAAAGAGAAGAACGAGCAAAATTGTCTGGAAAGTCACTAATTGAGGTAAGTTAAAAAAAAATGAATTTCGGTTGATGCATTTTCAGCAATTTTTGTATCTTTATAGCAGATGACAATTGATCTGGTACTTAAGTTATCTTACACTTGGTATTTTAAATTCTGTTTGTCATTTAGGACGAGTAATTCAAGAAAATAGGACAGCAGTGAAAGGTTTTCTGAATAATAATTGATCAAATGATTCGTACAACTTATTAGACTAAGAGTACTTCCTAATTATCTGTTCCCTCTGCCCCCAAGCAAAAAAAAAAAAAGGAAAAGACCAAACTACATGTCAATTTTTAGTGCTAGATTATTGTTATGGAAAAAATATCTTTGAAATATTATCTTTCTTCTAATGTTTTCTTCTTTATCTTATACGAAAATGACTCAAAATCTTTAAAATAATATAAAATTGCTAATTTTGAAAGGTGAACAATCGCATTAGATTTTAAATATGAATAGATTGAGCCATAAAGATATCTTAAGAAACTTGCTAGTGGGGATCAAACAGTTTTCCTCCTCAACTTCATGTACTACCATAGTGCTGGGTCTCTAAGAATTGCAAGTAGAATGTTATATTTTAGAAAATTTTCAGTCTCTTATTCATATAGTCACAATGAAAACTTGTCAAATCGTCTTCTTAGTTTCTGTTCTGCAGAACAACAGAAGGTAAACATCTCCTTTAAATGGTTTCTTCCCTGGAGGTCCTACGCATATCTTTCATTGGTTTATCAAAACAGCTGAGATGTGACTTCTCACATGTATGTATATGTCTTTATGCTTAACCATTTTTATTCTGATGCTTCATTTCTTTGACACATTCTCCCCATTAACAGGTACCTGAAGCAACAGATCTTGTAGTTCGAGTTGTGTTAGCTGTCAACAAACAATTAAAAGTGTCGCAAAAGTTTTTAGATATTCTCCATGGTGAAAATTATCCAACAGAGTTTCCATATAGATCCAAGGTAAGAGGTAGTATTCTGATCAAAATTAGAATATTTTCTTGTTGGCAGGCTTGAGATTTGAAAATGGGATTAAGCCCCTTTTTGGCTTAGCTCAAATCAGATTTAAGTAGATTTCGATAAAAGTTGATGAAAATATGTGGTTGAAAAGTAGACAAAAGTTATGGGTCTCATGAAATGTGTGATTGAAATTGAGTTCGAGGAAAAATGAGTTTTAGAAAATGGGGCCAAACAGGGGCTAATAATTTCTCAATTGTTTTGATAATTCACTCACCAGTCATGTTTTCAATGTTTATAAAACTTTTGGCTGACATATAATGGTTGACAAATTTCAGTCAGTCTTTGCTCTATTCCCCTTCTAGACTATTAATAACACGCGCCTCTTATATTGAAGGTATGCGTGAAACATTACATGAGAATGTTTCTAAATTTCAAATAATGTTCAAATTTTCTAATAGGATTGAAGTAGAAGAAGGGAATAAAGAATCTTTTAGTGGAGATACTTTCTTGTACTTGAAGCATGTTAATTTTGCTTTTCATGGTTCTTTTCTGTGTGAATACTGGAGTTATAATTTGAAAGTCCTTTTTCAGGTTATCCTTTGGTTTCAAAAAATTGAAGGTGTGGATGTCTGTATCTTTGGAATGTACGTCCAAGAGTTTGGTTCAGAATGTAGGCAACCAAATCAACGTTGCATCTACATTTCATATCTTGATTCAGTCAAGTATTTTAGACCTGAAATTGAAACTGTTACTGGAGAGGCTGTACGTACCTTTGTATACCATGAAATATTGGTCAGTTTATTGTCTCTTATCCAATTTCTTCTTTGTTTAGCAGTTAGTCTCTTCATGAAATATATGAATTAATTGAACTGTTTGCTTTCCCCTTTTGTCACTGTGCAGATAGGATACCTTGATTACAGCAAGCAACATGGTTTTACGACCTGCTACATATGGGCTTGCCCACCTATAAAGGGGGGAGATTATATTTTATATTGTCACCCAGAGGTGCAGAAAACACCGAAGACCGATAAGCTGCGTCATTGGTATGTCTCCTTTTCTTCCTGCTCATACCCCCTCCTTGGGTTTTCTGAAACAACTTATTATGACAGTTGTGTTATTGCAAAAGAGATTGGATATTTTCCACCTTTTTCAAGTAAGAACTTTGTCCTTTCAAATTCTTCTGTTTCTTAGTGTTAAATCATGTCTAGCCACATTATACAAAACATATGGAATATTTAACTTGTATTCTTCTCACTTTTTCATTAGTTGTTTTTACAACAAAATTTTGTAGGCCCTACTGTATATTAATATTATCCAAATGAACCTTTGATAAATATTCGACAATTTATTAATATCAATTGTCTATTTGTTAGCAAGTTTAGGTTTTCATCTCTGGATGAACTTTTGTGCCTGCAGGTACAAGAAGATGCTTAGGAAAGCAATACAAGATAATGTTGTGGTGGATTATACTAACTTATATGATCACTTCTTTGTTCGGAATGGAAATTGGAACATCAAGATAACAGCAGCCTGTGTACCTTATTTTGATGGGGACTACTGGTCGGGTGCTGCTGAGGACGTGATTCAGAGTATCGAGAAAGAAAGTGAGGGATTTGGGAGGAAGGTGAAGAAGGTAGTTACAAAAAGAACTTTTAAAGCAATGGGATATAGTGACCTTTCTGCTGACGCAACAAAAGATATTCTAGTGATGCAAAAGTTATATTTCTAATAAATTCTTGGTTCCAGGGTTCTCTGAGACTTTATTTGCTGCGTTTTATTTAAAAAGCAATAAGAATAGTTAAGTCCATGTGCCAGAATTTTTTTCCCAGCAAATGTATTTCATGTACTACCAATTTTTTATAGTCACACCCACGAAAAGGGTCACCACACTGGGTTCTTTATTAGTCAATTATTATTTTAATTACCATGGTCATGGTTTTTAAACAATTTGACCTGCTTCCTAATAAACTCAAGATTGCAGTTAACATCACCTAGTAGCAAGATACTGGATAAAAAGAAAAAAAAATTATTGGCAACATTTTAGTTGAACCTAGTAGTCTTGCCAAGTATAAGGTAAGTAATAGAGTATTATTTCAACTATGCAATTTGGATCAACTTAGTTCATTTGGAATTTGTTCTTGAAGAATTAGTAAATAAGGACGTGGTTTTTGTGTAGACCTAGTCTTGAACTTGGATATTGGTCCACACTCCCTTCTCTTCCCTAGGTAATGAAGAAGAAATCAAACTCTTAATATGAAAGAAAGTAAAAGTGATATTGTTCTCTTTGTACTAGTAGTTATTTTAGTTTCTGAATAAGCAAGAATTTTGGATGTTCAAACTCGTGCTGACATAAAGGTTACAACTGATAACCTTTGCTTTTTGTTGTTGTATTGTCTACTAATGCTTTATGTTTTCTTCCTCTTCCTCCCATTGATAGCTGGGGCAGAGCATTCTACCCAAGAAGGAAGACTTTATCATTGTCCGCTTGCAGTTCACTTGCATAAACTGCCATGAAGTGATACTATCTGGAAGTCGTTGGTCTTGTAATCAATGCAACAACTTTCATTTATATGTCAGGTTATTATCAGTTCCAACTATTTGAGTATCATGTATTTGTATATCAACTGCGGAAAACAACTGTTATTTTCTCTCCTTCATCTCTTTCCCTTGGCTTTGAACTATGATTTTGTCCTTTGTTGCACATATTATTTGTGCGGAATACTCGTACTAAAACATTGATTTAATAAAGAATTATGGAAATACCTTCTAGATTATTTTACTCTTGTTGTTTACCTCAGATGCCTCAAACCGAAGCAAAGCTCTGACAAAATAATAGCTCACACTGTCATCAATGGGGAAAAACATCCACTGTGTCAGGTGCGCTCTGAAACTTCAAATTTCTTGTTTCCAGTTGCCTGGAGTTGGCCAACATTGTTCATGCTAAATTTTCTTTGTTCTTATTGGCTACTAATCTTTTCAGATTGCGGTGACTGATGTAGCTTCTGATACCGAGGACAACGATGTCATTCTAGACAACAATTTCTTTGAGCAAAGACACTCTTTCTTGAGCTTTTGCCAGGCAAATCACTACCAGTTTGATACACTTCGCCGTGCCAAGCACTCATCCATGATGATACTGTATAATCTGAAGAGATTGATGGAACAAAACAAGGGGATTTCCTGCAATATTTGTCAAAAGGATATCAAGGTGCAATGGCATTGCAAGATTTGTCCTGAATTTGATGTTTGCGCTGCATGCTATCAAAGAGAAGGTGGCAGTTGTCATATTCATGAGTTGATTCAGCGTTTATCCAATGCTGATCGTGAAACAAAGATTAAACAGATTCAGTACCGGAAAGTAATGGAGGTATGACTCAGTTCTCGGACATGAAAAGGATGATAAAAGAAAATTCTTTTGTGTTGTTATTAATAAGATCGGGCAATACTTGTATATTCTATCCTCGTTTTATAGTTTCCATAGTTTATTTGTGGCTGAGTTAACCTTAAAAAGGAAACCATTGGTGAAATTTGTGTTTAATCATCCAAATAACCTGTTTTGCAGAAAAGCGAACTGCTGAATCTTCTAGTGCATGCTAATTTGTGCAGAGAGACGCAAGACAACCCCGGCTCCCATCCAAATTGCGGTAGTGTTAAAAGGTTTTTTCTCCACTCACGCAACTGTGAAGTTCGATTTTCTGGTGGCTGTAGACATTGCAAGAAAATCTGGTTTTTGCTGTGTTTGCACTCGAAGAACTGCAGAGAATCCAATTGCAGTATGCCGCGTTGCATGCAAGTTAGAAACTTGCATTTTTCTATCAAGATTTTTATGCTTTCAAATCGAACTGAATTAGCATTTGAACTCTGTATTATGCAGGGAATTGAAGAAATATAGAGAAATGCATGCAACAGTCTGAAATCTGTGGAAGGACAGCACTTACAGCGAGGCCTCTATATGAGGTTGTACAATAGCAAACTGATAAAATTAGCTGTTATTTAATAATCGCCCACAAAAAAAATTACTCGTATAACAGAATATTGAATGATTTGTAGAAACTAATGAGGCAAAGTATTTAGTGGTTACTGCAAATTTTGTTCTAGAAACAACATGTACCATTAGACGACCCACAACATTTTGTAATATGAAGTCGTATTGTCTTACATTTTTAAAATTTTTTAAGTGAGACTTATTCGTACTTTTTGAAAAGATTTGGGTCTCTTGTTGTAATTACATTTTTCTTTTCTTTATTTCTTTTTGTTTATTTAAAATGTAAGGATTAATTCGTCATTTTGCAATGTTTTTACAAAATAAAAGGATGGCGTGGACGATTGTGCAATGTTTGATTAATTTAAATTTAAATACAGAGAAGATTAATTTAAATTTAAATATAGAGAATATTTGTGCAAAATTAGCAAACAGTAGGACGTTTCATGCTAACATAGCCTATTCTATTAATACCAGGGTGATTTTTAGCCGTCCGATGGTATACTTGACGCTAATTTTGATGGCTTGAATAGTCTCTATTTGGCGCAGTATATTTCTTCATAGAGATCTGGATTTGACTGCAAAACCCTGAATCTCGCTCTTCGTTCAAGATTTGTCGCATTTAAATCTCTCTGAAATCTTCAATGGCAGTGCCGATGTATGGGTTTCCGATCTTTGCGGTCGTAAGAATTTTCGGAATTGCTATAATTGCACTTGTTTTAACGTGGACAGTGCATTACAGGGGAGGCTTGGCTCTCATTTCCGACAACAAAGATCTCATCTTCAATGTACTTTTTTATATCTTCCCCGGACTTCTCATACAATTTCGTCGGAGCTAGGTTTAAGTCTGTATGAACAGTGTCGTTGGAGAATACAAGTCGCAAATTTACCTTTCTTTAATTTACCAGCTGAATGTTTGATGATCTATTTTAATGGTTTTGCAGGTTCATCCTGTTTTAATGGTTATTGGCCTTGTGCTTCTGAACGGTGAAGGTAAGGACTGATTCTGTATGCAAGTGAGCTGATCTTTGTTGACTTTACACTATTAGAGAAAAATCCGTAAACTGTTAACTTGTAAAGTATGGGGATATTAACTTGAAAACTACGGACATGTAGTCTGGTTTTCGCATATCTCACAATGATAAAATTGAAACCGAAATGTAATGCCAATTTTTGACAATTGTATTCAATTATGTTGTAGCTTGAAAAATATGGTGATCTAGTCTTGTTTTCTTACATTCTCGAAGTGATAAAATTGAAACCGAAATGTATTTGCTATTTTTTCACAATTTATTCAATTTTGTTGTTGCCCTGTAACTTATATGTCTAACTCACTGCACTTATAGTGCGTTTGATTGCAAGTATGGAATTTGCATAGAAAGAAAAAATAATTCTAGGTAATTCAATTGCCTAGAATTTATTTGCATAAAAATTATCTTTGATTGATTTAATTTTCAACATAGAAAATATTATACTTGTCCGTTTTTATTGGTGGGTAGATAAGAGAGAGTGAATTTTTTCCTAAGGAAAATATTTTCCTTAATTTTGAGAGAAATATAGTCACGTAACCAAAAGTAGAAAAATGTTTTCCATGGAAAAAATAGCAATCAAATAGCACAAAAATAAGAATTTGGGTAGAAAAAATACATTTTTCATGAAAAATATTGGCAATGAAACGCACCTTATTGTTTTATATTAATGTAGGTTCTCCGTGTGGTGATTCTTGACGCTTTTAATTTGTGTTCTTCTACTGTTTTATCCTGTAATTCATTTAAGTCACTCTGTTTCTTTCCTTTTAACAAAGGATAAGTTAAAATTTCGGTAGAGTTTGTGATGAATGGAGGCAATTTCCTTGACACAATGCTGGATTTTCTGAATGATGATGCTGTTTGTCTTTTATATCAAAACAGAAACTATAGCACCAATATTCTAATATACATTCGTACCCTTGTGTGCCTGGCACCTGCTAGAATTTGTTTGAATGTGTCATCTTACATTTTGTTTGGAGATGCTCTTATATCATTTATTTGGGAATTGGGAGGTTACCGGCTTCTGGTCCTTATTCTCAGAAGCATGGCTTTAATTGCTTGAAATGGATTTCTGCAGCCATGCTAGCATACAAGACTGTCTCAGGAACAAAAAGTTACAAAAAATTAGTTCATCTTTTTCTACAATTTCTGGCTTTCTTATTGGGCATTGTTGGACTATGGGCTGCTTGGAAGTTTCATGTTGATAAAGGCATTGACAACTTCTACAGCCTTCACTCATGGCTGGGCCTGGCCTGCCTTCTCTTATTTGGAATTCAGGTAGTTTTTAGAATTTCAATGCCTGTGCCCATAATCAGTACCATTCATTAATATGTAGCATTCTCTTTCTGGAAAGGATAGATTTTGTCCTTTTGGGTTCATCATTATGTTGATTTATTCATATTACTTTTGTAGTGGGCTGCTGGATTTGTGACCTTTTGGTATCCAGGCGGTTCAAGACACAGTAAGGCTAGCCTGCTGCCATGGCATGTATTTTTTGGCATTTATATGTATGCTCTAGCTATTGCTACTTGCACTACAGGTATTTTAGAGAAAGCCACATTTCTTCAGACGAACCAGGTAATATCACGATATTCAACTGAGGCATTGTTAGTGAATTCTTTGGGTATCTTGATAGTTGTTTTGGGCGGTTTTGTGATTCTCGCGGTTGTCTCACCTGTCCATAGGAAAGGTGACATTCCCAAAGGAACAATAGACTAAGTATAGCATAGTCAATTTGGAACATACCTGTGAAATTGTTTGTAATGAGAAAGAACTGACGCTATCAAAAGTAATAACATTCTTGGCTGCTCGACTGCCAAATCTTTATATCAGTGTGTGCTAATGCATCTTATAAGCTGCTTACGCCCCCTAGTTTAGAACACCTGAATTAATGAAAAATTTTCGAACTTAAATGTATGGTCATCACCTTTATGTACGCGACGTAAACTCAATCTATATGCCTCGATAATCGTGGAAGAAATAAAAGACAGACGGTGAAATATTGAAAACGATGCTTGCAATTTTTGCTGAATTTAGGTGCCCTTCTTCTCCCAGTTGGCCATTTAGGGTGCCCATTGTTTACAAAAGTACTATTGCAATAGCATTGCTAGAAAATTGTGTCAACAATATTAGCTGAAAATACTTAAAAAAAGAACAGGTTTCATAAACTGTGGTTTTGGGCTTTCAACATAATTTGATGGCCTTTTTTTAGCCCAGAATCAATCTCCGACACCATTATCTATGGGCAGTTTTTAATTATTTTTAATTTATTTAGTATTAATTCTTCTTATCTGTAAACATTCTTCACTGAAAACCATAAAATAAACTGTAATAATTATTTCCTGCTCAAAGCAGAAGACACTGCACCTTTAGACAAATGACACCTATGAGAGAAAATATCAAATTCTGTCAATCATTTCATTGCCAAATTAATGAAAAAGGAACATAACTATCTAGTCATTGTTTTAAAAAGTGTGCTACATAGATAAATGTAGCTGAAAAAATTAGGGAAATGCAACTTGTCCCAACTCAGGACTGACCAAAATTCAGGGTGCCGAGGTGGGAACATCTTGACTTTTGGATTTGAAAAAAAAAAAAAAAATTGAAGTTGAAATCACATCACCTCAACCCCCTGTTTTTGGGTCGGTCACCGAGTTGAGACTTGTAGCACGGCTGAAAAAATTATTCTCCATTTCAAGCCGATTGGAATTCTGTCAAGGGATAAAATGGACAATGTCTAAAAGTTCGTCCATGTTAGACAGAATAATCTAGCAAAATTTAAAATTTTCCTCTCTTTCTTCATCTCTTGGTTTCTTTTTATTTTTAGATCAAAGCAATTGGAGATGAAATTTGAACGTGATCATTTCAATATTACGTGAAGTGAGAATCTTTTTATTTATTTGTCAATGAAAAATGCTAAAAGAAAGTGATAGATTACAACATTTTTATTTTAACCTTTAGTCAAGCGTCATGTACGTTCCGTCCGAGATCTCCAATTCTTCCCTTTCCCGGCCAATTATCGGGCTACAGCCTCCTATGAACTTTCACTCGGTACACACTATAGCACGCAATGGACCAACCCGAAATGAGAAACATGACACACTGCAATATGAAACGTGAAAATGCTATTTGTGGAAGTATGAGGTCATTTTTATAATTTCAATAATATTCAATTTTACCAAAGCTATATAACATTAATTCTCATGTTAATCTTTTTCTATTACCATGTATGATGTCCACAACAAAAACTAAGAACCTCAATCCTTAATCAGAGTTCGAATTTTTTTTGTTAACTGTTTCTGAAAGGTATCTTGGAAGTTTCCAAATTTTATTCAAAAAAAAAAAGGAGTCTTATGAAAATTGGAAGTTCTGCAAAATATAGAGTTTTTAACATTGATTTCAATTTGCAAAATTCGATATTCAAATCTACAAAGATGTGGAAGATGATAAGAAAAATTCTGAAGAATGTGAATACAGGTGGTTGAAATCAGGGGAAAAAAATGATAAATACAAAATAATAATAATAATAACTGTGTACCGTGCTAGCCATGTATTAATAGATTAACCTCCTGTTTGATAGAAATTAAAATTTATATTTTAATACAAATCAAAGTCAACAATTAATTTTAATAACACATTTTATGGGTTTCATGCAAATTTATTCTCATTAATTGCATTTTTAATTCACTTAGTTGATGATGTGTCAAGAATTAATTAAATATAACGAGATCTTAACTTACCAAATAGGGCTATAAATTGGGTTGACTGAGAAATAAATGACAGCCAGGATTTGAATCAAATTATTGTACTACTTCAACAGATCACCACCATACCCAGTCCGCAAATCCATCACGCAAAGTGGGTTTAGAGTCATGACACAATGCTCCATATACCTAACATTTGACAGGTTTTTCTTCTTCCGAAAGAAAGCTGTCAGGTTCACGTTCATTCCTTGCTGTTTGTTTATTTGTTTGTCTTTTTTTTTTTTTTTGTTTTCTTTTTGCCCTTTATCCATTTCTGAACTTCTGTCGAGTATCATTTGAGCTACAGGAAGTTCTGAGGTTTTTTGCTGTTAACTGCTGCCATGGTGTAACCACCGTTTACTATTCCTAGAAACCTTAATTGTTGGAAACACTATTACACGGCATCACTGTACCATAATTAGCATTTCTTTGGTTCTTATGATTAGTTAACAAACGACATGAATCCACAGGAATGTGATCGTATGTTTTTTTTTCTTTTTTTCTTTTTGTGCCATTTTGCTGCAAGTTTTATTATTCTTCTTGTTTCTACTTCCTTAGGGGAACTTCTTTACCCCCCTTTCGAGGATTCAATTAATGGAACTGACTTACATATGTCAACAAGGATTGCTTCTCAGAATACACGGCTGTGCCAAGACAAAGGGCTTTCAATTGTTGGGATCAGCCGATCAGGTTAGTGAATTCAATTGTTGAACGTTGCGATGAATTTCTTACCAAAAGTTCAGTAAGTCGTTTTGTATAATCATCTCTGTGATGAAATTATTATGCATGTCTATATAAAGGCTCGAATAATTCAAAGCTAATTAGGCAAAGAGAATATATATATGTAATTGACAGTACCCATGGCTGAGGTTAGAGGAGAATGATAGTCAGTTCAGCAATTAAACTATAATAATCTTAGCCAAACAATCATAGGATCAAAAATATTGGAGCTCTGTTAGTAGGGTACTTTATGCATCTTGCACTTTAATGTATTCACGGTAATCCTGTCGCAGTTTAGGACAATAGGGAAGGAAGAATGAGGATTGAAATTTGTTTCCACTGTACGTAAGACGCTAAAAACAAGAGACTGACTCACAATGGTCCCCAATGAAAGGATATGAACTTTTTGTGTCTTTATAGTACTTCCTTCGTCTGTCGCTTCAGAATATACAACCCTGTTGGTTTTAACACAGGAAAATTTTGAAGGTATTGAACTGCAAGTCTTTTAATCATTACCACAACTTTACTTATTTCTCTTCCATTGTCACTTTGATTACTTCAGCCCGGTAAGTTCGATTCCCACAACATAATTACTCGTGTCAACAAACCAGCTGACCAAAAAATTACCAATTCCACAATCTAACCTAGAAACCTCTAAAAAAAAAAAAAAAACTAGATACCTATATACCAAACGTATTTTGACAAATTAAATTCCTAGGAACTGTATTAAGTTTTCTCTAATGTAAAATATACAGCAGGATCTTTTGATTCCAGATTGGGTATCTGTACATTTAAAGGAAATTTAAAATATTCTGCTAATAACCAACATATATTTCCACTTGGAGAGGTAATTATAAGAACTCTAGGGAATTTTAGACAAATGATTGTAAACTTTTTTAAGGCTAAGACTTCATGTTAATTCAAGTGACATAAAAACTCTGATTTCTCAACCTATATGTAAAGAGCACGGTAGCTTCAAAGAATAATATAAAATTTAAAATTTCCTCCTACAGTCCTATTGAAAATATTTCAAAGCCTGAAAGATGTGAAACTAGAACAATGACACAGTCTGAAAGCTGTAAAAAACTGTTGCATGATGATTCTAACTATCATATATACCCTCCTTAATGAACTTAAGTGTTGACAAATGACAACTGTAATATTGAAAACATTAATACCTCAAATATGATTGCCGTGGTTAACATTTTGACAGGCCTCTCATTTTCCTCCACAGATTTCACCTTTGTTACAGTCTTCTTATCTTTTTCCTAAGCATGTATGTTTGCGTTCCCAACTTTTGCTCCTATGTTCTTAGTTTTTTTTTCCGTATGTGTTTCATTTCAGTTGCCTTCTACTCCAACTGACCATATTGTGTTCTCTTCATCCTCAAATAATTTAGTAGTTTTCTCTTCCATTTCCAATTTCCAATTCAAATTGTTCCCTTTCTAAAAAGCAACAGCAGCCTGTTTTTTGTTGAGAATCTTATGGAAATCTAACTTGTAGGCAGTCTCCAAAATACATGATAAATCCCACGCTCGTTTTGGTGGCATAGTGTCTGAAATTGTTTCAAAAATCTCATCATTTATTTCTCGATAAATAAAGGACAGTGTATTTTTGTCCCTTTTCCGATTCAATTCTATAAATTGAATGGCCGAGCTTGATCGTCCGTGTATCCATTTCTCAAAGTTTTTCACAAGGCTTGGATAACATACAACAGTTTCGTTGTTGGATCCATATTTGTTGACTACTTCTTCGCATTGAAGTCAGGAAGCTGTGGCTGTAACTGTTTGATGTCATCTCTAACAATTCCTTCAGCAAGTCTTCGATACCACTTTGTAATTGGAAACCAAGATGAATTCACTGATATTCAAGTACTCGCTCTCACTAGAACACTTTAAGAGAAGTTTCTTCCTTGAAAAAGGTATATTTCACTCTCATTTTTTTATTGCTTTTCTTACAATTTGCTTCACTTTTTCTCATGTTTTCTATAATACAAACTTAGTACATGAATCATACTTATGCACATAACATTTATATATCAAAAGCACTATAGACCTAATAATATGTATTCCTAAATCCTATTAGTATAATGAATTCATGTTCTTTCTTCTAAATTAAATGCTAGATGAGCATAATGGATCAGTAATCTTGAACTATGGATTCAACAAGGTAGGTCTAAAAGTGTCCTAGTATTTTCAAACCTCCGATATACTGATATTATATATTTAACTGTCAATAAGATGAACTTAAACAATGATGCTACATTAGGATTTGACCTGATATCCTAAAATAAAACTTGTTTTAGACCTGATTATATACGATAACTAAAGACATTAGATCTGTCCAATGCAGTATAAAAAGTATGTTTTAATAAATGAGGGTCAACGGCTAAATTATTAAGCACAATTAACTAAAATTTTGGAGTAACAAGAGGTGTCAATGTAGTGAAATAAAGATAAATTCATGAAAGTTCCACCCGTAAACTAGTTGGTAAAAAAAGGGAGATAAATAAGAGATTCGTCAAAGCCGAAACATATAGTAAAGCTTACATAGCCTAAGCACATGGGAAACCACACATCAGTCTCGACCTAATTAGTCAAGGACCTGCCAGTAAAGAAAAATGAAAGAATAATTAACATTGAGCTAATGTATATTTTGAAACTGTTTTGTAGAAAAGTTTACCTTCTAATAATATTATACTGGTGAAATATGGCTCACAAGCTGGATCGCCTGACTATGTAACCAATATCCCAGTTCTCAGCGGCATAATTAGGAGAAGATGCGTTGCAATTTGGAGTCAAATCACTTGAAACTATATGGTTTTGCTGGAAACCAAGAATTGAAGAAGAAGGCTTTGATTGGCTTGGAATGGAGTTGCTGAAATCAGAAACCTGCCTGGCTTGAATATTGAGCCTTTTGCTGCACATTTTCTCTCTTGTTCTTTCCCTTGCTCTTGCTCTCGCCTTTGCCCTTGAATCTCTTGCAATAAGTAATGTTGAAACCTGTTGTGGATTCTTTGCTTCTTTAGTGTTCGTAGCATTTATGAATGATTTTTTCTTTAAATTTGACCCCAAAGATTTCCCTTTTTCGCCAGCTTTATTATTCTCGCTTTCAAAAGGAGAAGAATGAATGTTGTCGGTACTTTTTTTCGTGCGAATCAGCTCCCTGATTGCTGTTTTTGAATTTGTAAGCAGCCAATCCAGGGTTTTGCTTGGTTTGTCGAAACCTAGCATGTCTTGAAGATCAAAGAACTTACGTGCAATACTTATGGAAAGCCGCACTCTTCGATCTCTCGGACCAGTAGCTGTAAAGATTTTGCTGTGCCTGTCATTTTTTACTGTCCTTTTTCTTCTTGGAAACGCATTTGCAGAAGTCCCAAGATCCATATTTAACCTGTCAACATCTTGATAACCTAATGCAGTGTCGCCAGGAACTGGCAAGTCAATGGCGGCCTGAAGAACTGGAAAATTATCTACTAAATTATAATGGCCAGAAAACAGATCGTCATGGTGGTGAAGCAAAGTTTCACTGCTATTTAGGCAGTAAAAAGAGGTCGATGTGTCAATAGATGATTCAATCTGCGGTAGAAAGTGCGAATTCTTGCTGGAAGAGAACATTTTAGGTCAAGAAAAGATCAATTTCTCTGCCGGGATTTGAGGTTTGTGTCTACAAAGTAAACAAGGGATGGGCATGTTTGAAATTAAATGCAAACATGTTAATTATCTGAGATTTACAAATGTAACCAGTCTGTGAAAAACCTAGATTTACTCGTGTGTGGTGAGGAAGATGGAAGAAAGGAAAGAGGAAGAGAAATATCAGACATTGGGAAGGTGGATTTTTCCTGTATCAAAAGACCGTACTTTTTCATTTTTTTCCTTAAGTTAAATAATAATTATTGGTAATAAATTTCTGCATCTTTTTTTACCTTTTCTTACTGTCTGCCTCCAGGGAAAAAGTTAATACCAATACTTAGACATGGCATAAAACAGGCAAACATTTGGGAGTTAATTTTTTTTTACTAGACTATAGTATATTCTTGAATGAGGTCCACGTGCTTATGAGAGTAGGTAAATCAAATTATGTACACTTAGAATTATCCATTCTTGAATGAGCACACAGGAAAAGAAGGGATTTTGTGTTACCACTCGGATTCGGAAAGGGTAAGGGCATGATGCTGTTGAGGACCAAATTCTGAGGGTAGATAACAATTATTATTATTATTATTTTTACTATTATGGTTAATTGTATTCTATTCCAACATAAATTTACTCGCAGACTACCTTGAGGTTTTGACGGGTGACCCTGGTCCCATAATCCATCTCCATTGTCTTTTCAGGCTCAGTAAAAAATCTCATCCCCTTCAACTCTGCTAGCTAGCTAGTACTAGTATAAGCAATCCATAAATTTCTTTAATGGTGGGATGGCTCTTTTAATTTTCTTTTGGAACTTTAGAAATTGACATCTTTGCAGCCCACTAGGGTTTTCATATTTTGTTTTAGTAGAGATTTCATTAAATAACGATGTTAATGATTTGGCAATTTCAAATGTAATAATTATTTTGACATAGATAAATAGATAAAATTTAAATAATTAAATATAATATGGTAGCTTAAGTTTTAGACGATTGGTTCAACCAGACAAGACAGGCAGCCACTAAGAAGATGCTAATCCAGATATGAGCACAAATGCTAGGAAAAGTAGAGTTTTATTTTGTAGGCGGGTGTCCACAATGTTGCATGATTTCACCTGAAAATATTGTGTCAATGAAAAGGTTAAGTAACTCTGTCAAGTCTTAACTCTAAGATGAGCAGGCAAAATCTCTTTTTCAGTTTTCCGGGATAATTTATTTTGCGGGTGAAAAAGTTTAAGGAAAAATTTAATAAATATAATAGTTTAAGAATACAATTTCAAAATTAACAATTTTATTAAAAAACTTTAAGAAATCAGATGGTATCTATTCAAGTAAATTGCTGTGATATATAATTGTATGATTGTGTAATCCATGTGACATGTTAGTTATGTTCATTTGACCATCTGAATTTTATTTAAAGTTAATGTCGGATTAATTAAATTCAAACTTAAAAAATATAATTTCAGTTATTTTCCTCAAAAGTTAATTGGGAGCTGGATTAGTGGCCCAAACCAAGATGCTTACTGAAAAAACCAGCCTAATTAATGCAGAGGGTTGTAAATTAAGTTACTTTATTTCAAGTTTAGAGACTATAGCCATAAAATGTAGATAAAAGTCTATAAACTACCGTAATTTGGACTGCACGTTTAATTTAATCATTTTATTGTCTCGCAATTTTCATTCATGCATGTCCAATGTTCAAATAATTGATCAAAATAGAATATGGATATTTCTCCTTGCACAGGATCCTGTGCATAGGGTGTGTGCACAGGGTCATGTGCAAATAGCACAGCCCTAAGAATATATAGGACAGCACACTTTAATTGTATATTAAAAATATATCGAATTTGTGTGTGTGTGTGTGTGTGTGTGTGTTTTTTAACTGTATTTGCAGAATCTATGGCTTCAAATTTAGCCCCCGTTTGACCCTCATTACCTGAAAATGAAAATGGGGGAATAATATTTTTTTAAAAAAATGAGTGGTTGAAAAAGAATGAAAAGTTTTCGATTTACGCGTAATATTATTTTATGAAAAATTGTGTGGTTAAAAATAAGAGAGAGAAAAATGTAATGTAATGTAATTGAATTTAATGGGAATCAAACTGGGCTTAGTATATTCGAGTAAAGAAATTGGCAAGATTGCTTTTGATCACATAAATGGGTATAGTATTAAGCATTATTATATCAAATGACATACAGTGACAACTGACAAGACCTTATCTGAAACTTTTTCTTAATTAAGACTTAAGAGGGCCGATTTCATACATGATTTATTTAACATTAGATAATTTATTAATATCGTTTACAAATTTTAGAAAGAAATGAATCATCTCCCTCCCAACGTTCTTACAACTCATAAAATAGAAAATCGAATCTCGAACCTCAATTGCGTGATTATCCAGAATGGATGAAAAAATCGTCCACAAATTCCCAACATGATTTTTCCATAATAAATTGTTTACTTCTTGCCCACAAATTTTCAAGAAAAACTGGTCACATTTTCAATGTCGTTTTTAAATCTATCGGTGGAGCACAAAGTTAAAGAATCGTTTGGAAAAAGTTGTTCCAATCACAAGCATCGGCCACAATATTTTTCAGTCATTTGTGCTAAAATTAGGACAGTAACCTAATACACTGAAGATCATCATGTTAGAATTATAGTTGTTCAAAATAAAATAATAATAATAATAATAAAATAAAATAAAATTTTGTGGGTTTAACCATGCGGCTGCATGGACATGAGGCCCTCCTGAAAGTGGGAGGGCCACTTGCACCGTAACCATGCGACCGCATCGTTATAGCCCATGCGGTCGCATGATTATACAAAGTAACCGTTGGGAATTCGTTTTTCACCGTTTTTCTTTTGAATTTGGTGCCTTTTCAACATAATTTTGCACCATTTCGTAGGAACCCTTCAAAACCTATAAATAGGTGTTCCAATTGCAATGAAAAACACTCTTGAGAAAATTAAGAAACTACCACAAAATTATTCTCCCAAATTATTATATAATCAATCTTATATCTATTTTCACTTGTTCTTTGTGAAAGATACACTTTGCTTTTGGTGTTCTTCACACAAAAACTTGTTTAATCCTACAAGCTATTTGTCGGAACTCCTCAAAAGCATTGGAAAGGGGCAAATAATGTTTGAGGATAGCGTTATCATTTTCGTGTTCAAGCCTCTAATTCTATCTATATTCTTTTCCTCTTTGGTATTACCAATTTTCTTCTCTTCATTGCTTTAAATTTCCAACAAACTCAAACATCATTTGCATTTACTGCAATGGAGTCGAAATCTACTATTGCTACTATCAAAATGATGAATCAAGATCTGGTGCGTTTGGATAGATTCGATGGTGTAAACTTTACAAGATGGCAAGACAAACTCAAGTTTCTTCTAACGGCGTTGAAGATCTTCTACGTGCTTGATTCAAAATTAGAACTCATTCCCAATGCAACTGACAAGGACACCAAAGAAATTCGCATAGAAAGGAAGAAACGAGAAGAAGATGAATTGATATGTCGTGGGCACATTCTAAATGTATTGTCCGATCGACATATGATCTCTACACAAACACTACTTCGGCTAAAGAAATCTGGTATGCATTAGAAAGCAAATACAAAGTCGATGAAGAAGGTACTAAAAGTTTTTAATAACTAAATATTTTGATTTTAAAATTTTAGACAATATAGCTTTATTTCCTCAAGTACATGAGTTACAAATAATTGTGAACAAATTGAAAGTGGTAAAAATTGAACTTTCCGAAACTTTCCAAGTGGGAGCAATTATTGCTAAACTCTCTGGTTCTTGGAGAGGATATAGGAAGAAAATTCTTCACAATTCCGAAAATTTTTTTTAGAAGACATACAGAAACATCTTCGCATTGAGGAAGAATCAAGGGCAAGAGATAAGATTGAAAATTCTTATGATGGCTCTTCGAAAGCCAATGCCGTGGACAATGTGGACAACTCCGACAAGTTAAAAAAAAAAGGGAAATTTCTTGGTCCTAGAAAGGATCAAGGAAAATTCAAAAACAAAGCCAAATGACCGTGCTATGTTTGTGGGAAATCGGGACACTATGCTAAAGATTGCAGGCATAGGAAACAACATAAGAAGGAAGGACAAGTGAACTCTGTTGATGAAATTATTGCAATAGTGAGTGAAATTAATGCAATCCAAGGCAAATTTTCGGGCTGGTGGTACGATACATGCACTACAATCCATGTATGTTATGATAAGTCTCTCTTCAAAACTTATCATGACATTGAAGACAACCAAGAAATACAAATGGGAAATGAAGGAAGATCAAAGGTGATCGGTAAAGGAAATGTTGAACTCCTTTTTACTTCGGGAAAGAAGATCACTTTGACAAATATCCTGCATGTACCGGAAATGAATAGGAACTTAGCAAGTGGTGTACTCTTGGGAAAACCCGGGATTAAATCTGTCTTTGAATCTGGAAAACTTGCATTAACCCATAGTGGGCATTTTGTTGGAAAGGGCTATTCCACCAAAGGAATGGTCAAGTTATGTACTGTTGAGGATAACTCAAATAAAATTAAATCTTTTGCGTATGTTATTGATTCATTTAATTTATGGCATGGTAGATAAGCACATATAGGATTTAGTATTATGAAAAGAATGATTAAATGTGGATTAATACAATGTGATATTGATAACTTAGAAAAATGTGAAATATGTTTTAAATCAAAAATGATTAAGAAGTCATTTCATAGCATAGAAAAAATAACAAAATTACTTGAACTTGTTCATTCCGGCATTTGTGAATTGAATGGAATATTAACTAGAGGCGATAATAGATATTTTATTACTTTTATTGATGATTGTTCTAGGTATACTTACGTATACTTACTTAAACATAAGGATGAAGCCTTTAGTGCCTTTAAAACTTACAAGAATGAAGTTGAAAATCAATTAGGAAAAAAATTAAAGACTTTAAGAAGTGATAGAGGTGGAGAGTATTTTTCAAATGAATTGAATATATTTTGTGAACAAAATGGAATAATACATCAATCTTCTGCACCTAGAACACCGGAACAAAATGGATTAGCATAAAGAAAGAATATAACTTATTTGGAAATGATAAATGCTATGTTATTAAATTCTGAATTACCTTTTAACTTATGGGGTGAAGCATTACTTTGTGCTTGTCATACAAATAGAATTCCTATGAAAAAGAATAAAATTTCCCCATATGAACTTTGGAAAGGTAGAAAACCAAATATTAATTATTTTAAAGTGTGGGGGTGCCTTGCATATTATAAAAATATGGATCCAAAGATAACCAAGTTAGGTCCTAGAGGTATCAAATGTGCCTTTGTAGGATATGC